ATTAGGGATGAGTTCAAACACAGTCTCCTTCCCAGACACCGATCATCTTTGTCCGCAGTTATTCTGGCGGCCTGGTACGAACATGAATTTGCCACAGTGCCAGTCCGCAAATCTATTGTCAGGTTATGAAGACCACAACCATATGTGTAGGCAAGACCGTCCAAAACAGTCAAACCTTCCTGTTCCCGCATCATCTTCTCCTTGGCCTGATTTCTCGGCCATCTCCGAAGCCACGGCCATGCCAATGCCATTCCCCAACCCTCCCGCTTTCCCTTCCACGCCGCTATCTCCTGCCACCTCAGTTTCCTCCGACTCCACAGCGTCAGGGTGTCCGTGTTTATCATACCTCTACCTATCCCTCAGCCACATGACATCCATTTCCTCCTTCCCAGTCAACTCCCACACTTTATGCTCGCTATATATTGCTGCACGAACAGCACGGAACGTGATCCGCTGCCAAGTTTGTCCCAAGATCTTTTCAACGGGCCTTCAAAATATCATGTTTATAGGGACTCTATTAACCGTTGTCGCGGACTCATGGCTGCGCGTTGCGCAAACCGACCCTGTCGAACTGGGGATGCAGTCCGCGCCTCCACAATACGTGTCTGAGGTACTCCAAAGCCCTGACCCAGCACAAGTTTGGAAATCATGGCTCCACCAAGTTGTTCGTCGCGCTGTCATTGGTGGTCCCGTTGAGCCAGGTGCCATTATTGTTTGTTCTCAGCAGCCAGATCTGCTGTCTATGATTATAGAAATCGAAAATCGGCAACGCCGCTGGCATGAGCCTGGGCAACATCCAAGCCGACAGTGGAACTCAATGTCTATACCAGAGCCGGCTCAGTCACAAGATCAAGAGGATTCTAGTGAAAAGGAGTTTTTATGTCTTCGTGTGGTTGGAAGTGCCAGGGATGTGATCAAAAAATTCAACTTTGATCCTTCAGAATATCCCGAGGGCGTTGAGCCTGTCACTGCGAGGAACAAAGCGCACACGGGGGCTCATAATGCATGAAATATTTGGTTAATTAGAGCATTTCGAATATGTCCGAGATTATGTGGAGTTATTATTTCATATGTATATACCATTCGGCATCAGATGATACAAATCTACGTTGCTTCGCTGGTACGAAGCTAACTTGATATGTCATTGACCATTTCATTAATTTTTGTTGTACAGGCATCAAATCAGAGTGAAATGAGCCCCATTGTCCCTCGAATGCCTGTCCATGTAGAAGACGCCGGACCATGTGGATATGTAACAAGAAAACTGCATCGAAAGCGCGAAAAGAAAAGAATATAGGAGAAAAATAGAACGCTACAGGCTCACTCGTCATCCTCGTCGTCCACAATGTAGCGGTTCTTCTTTCGGGCAGGAGGCGTACCAGCCCTGGTTTGAGGCTCTGGCTTGCTACGGGCAGCTTTGGCAGGTGCAGTCTCCACGTCATCTTCGCCTTCGGCATCCATGTCTTCATCCTCCAGCTCCTCTTCTTCATCTTCGGCTTCTTCCTCAAGCTCCTCGTCGCTGCCAACCAAGAATCCATCGTCCTCGTCGTACTCGTCTTCTTTGTTACGAGCACCACGAGGGTAATCCTCTTCGTCATCGGTGTAAATCTCGCCGCGGCGGTTTTGGCGGCGAGGCTTGGCACGTGGACGAGTCGTAAGCAAGCCGCCATCTTCGAGACCACCGACGCTAAGACCGCTAGGACCAGTACGAGTAGCGCCATGGCGGCGACCGCGGTCGGCCTCACGATCAGCAAGCTGCTGGCGACGACGCTCGGCCTTGATAGCTTCCTTTTCCATCATTTCAGCACGTCTGCCAGCCAACTCGGGATCCTCTGTTATTTCATAGCGCGGCGCAGTGCCAGCCGCGGTCTGTTTGCTACCACGAGCAGCAGCGGCCAACTGTTCTTGCAGTCGCTGAACGGCATCGTCCGTCTCCAAAGTGGTCGGGAGAATAGTCAGACCTTGGGTGATATGTGAAGTTAATCGGAAAACTTGAGCTGTTTCTAGTCCAGCTGCGAGATAAACGTGGGAATCCAGCTTGTGGTCATAGTCGCCGGACTTAGTGAGAGGTGCGAGGGGTTTAGATGCAATGCGGTATTGCTCAAGGGGGGCGGAGGCGAGTTGAAGGGTAATGGAGCCATCCTCCCATTTAATGATGCGGGCATTGGACTGCAAGAGAGACTCATCCGCGGGATCTTTACGCCAGCATAGGGAGGTAGCAGCGGTTTGGTAAGGCGGTGGGACGTAAGTCTCGGGGTTGAATTCTTCGCCTTCAATTGAGAGGAAATCCGGCACACGCATTGTGTAGATCTGTTACCAGAAGTTAGATCAATATCAAAGCTTCAAATTAAAAGCTCGTCCTACCTCTCCGTCGTTGGTCAACGGCACTGGCGCCCGAGCAAGGTCCTGGTCAGCAACATTGACTTCCTGTTGCTCCTCAGCCACATCTTCCATTGGATCTTCGCGCCGATCATAACGGTTCTCATCATCACCGGAGTCAAGTTGTTCGTCGTCCAGGTTGCGGTGGGGTCTGGTAATATATCAGTATCTGGCGCTTGTCGCTTTGGTGTGGTTCGCATACTCAATGTCATCGAGTTCACCCTCTCCGTCCGATCCGAAGAGATCATCGCCTTCATCCATTTGGTCGGCGCCAGAATCATTGGCATTGCTGTGCGCAGGGCTCTTATTGCCATTGCTAGGGCGTCGGACGGCCTCGTCGGAGGAGGACATGGTGTATGGAAATTATCGTTGTTGCAAAGTCATAAATGTGTGGAAGTGTGAGTGACGGTAAAGAAGGGACTAATGACACTTCTGAATATTATACTGGCAGTAAGCAACCTGTATTGACAATTGTTCTATCGTTACGACGGAGCTCTCATAATTCAATTGACGTACGGGGCTATATATTTTCCGACCCCGGACCCAAACAGGACTAGTGTCTAGATGGCCCAGACCAAAAGGGGATCCTCAACGTGTGGACATCTCACCGTCTCGTCCCTCATCCCCTGTTATTTTCTTGATTTGAAGCATTGCAGATCAATTTGAAGATGGCGACCTTCTTCCAGAGCGTGTAAGTAATGTTGTACTGTCGTGGACTTGTTGCAATAGGCTGTTCAATCTCCCTGCTACCTTTACCCCCTCATACTGCACGAAGAAACCCCCGGCGCGCCACAAATACAAAGGAGCATTCTATTCCCTAAAGTCTAATATCTTCCCTGGCGCCTTCTCCTGTCATTCACATCTACGTTTCCTTCTTTTATATATTCCCACTTCATTCTCAAACTGCTGTACCTCGCCACGATCGCCCGCTAACTCTATCTTTGAATACAGTCGCCAAGGATTTGGCCGAGGAGGAAGCAACAAGAGCAACAATCCCCCCAAAAGCCCAGCACAAGCCTCTGCTCCCCAGCATCAAGCCACCATGTCAAATTCGCCCTCGCTTTCCAGTAGTCTGTCAGTGGAGACTCAAGCCAACGACCCCGAGGGACCCAAATACTTCTTCCAGGAGAAGTATGCCCCGCTGAATGTGAGGGGCAACTTCTTGACCCTCTGTGCTTGCCCGAAGAATGTGGAGCTGGGCGAGTGGCTGGCTCACCAGAGTAAGCAATATGGAAGCTTAACGTGAAAGCGGGGATGCTAATATGTTTCTACTCTAGTTGTTGAACAATATCGTCTACTTCACGGCATGCTCCAGGTTATCCAGGAAGTGAATGGTGTGACCGGTCTACCTATTTGCAATGAGAACACTTGTCCAACAATGTCCGCTGGACGGTATGTGAAGTATAGCGGGGTAAATTTCGAACGGGGCTGACGATTTCAAAGGCTGACCTACACCTGGCTTGTTGATGGCCGCGCCGCCAAAATTTCCGCGCCGAAGTTCATCAACCGCGTCGAGAAATGGATCGTCAGCAAGATCCATGATCCTGTTATGTTCCCTACCGAAAAAGTAAATGGCATTCCCGAAACATCTTCCATTAAAGAGGCCAATGGCGCATCAACAACTCCCTCCGACCCCGCCAACCCAGATGATTGGATCGGCAAGTCCAGTGGCTTCCCACAAACCTTTTACAAGGACTGCCAGGGTATCATGAAGCAGATGTTCCGCTGCTACGCCCATTTGTACCACGCTCATTGGCTTAACCCCTTTTGGCACATTAACAAGCACGATGTCCTGAACATGTGCTTCGTTCACTTCGTGACTGTCTCCAAGTACTATGGGCTTGTGTCCGATAAGGAGATGGAGCCCATGCAGCCCTTAATTGAGCTGTTCATCAAGCAGCAGCGGGTTCCCCCAGAGGCGCTCACCGGTGGCCACTGGGCCCAGCAGGCCGCTACTTAAGCTCCACCGGTCTGGAGTTGCACTTTTTTGTTTTTACATTGACGACCATGACATGTCCGCTAACCTGGCGTTGGACCGCGCTGTATTACCTTGTTAGTATTCTGCTTTCTCCTGCCATTTAAAAAAAAATGGGCGAATTTGCAATGATATGACATAGCCGGGGCTTTGATTTAGCATGCGCTGTGAATTATTCTACTTGATGATCTTGCATATCTTCATTCAGCATCAGTTGGTCATTGCTTGTTTTTAATTTTCTCATTGCAATAAAGTCATCTGATCATAATTCCATAATGACACTTGGGGTTGTAAACAATTCACTAGACGTATTCTATGTTGTCTAGACCTGGTGACTCGATTGCATAGGGCTACAGAAGACGCGGACGGTTCCGAAGGCTTGGGGAAACGCACTTGGGATAACCATCTTTTAGCCATGATTCAGGCGTCACATCGTATGCACTATGAAGAATGGACACTAGCTAGTTAGTGAAACATAGCCAATTGCCATAAGCCGATCTTCGACCCACACGCAAATGCAGTAAAGCGCCCGCAAATAATAGAACCGAGTACCACTGACAGACTGGTGACAATGCTTTTGAAGATTAGCAAAATCCAGACCAGCTTAAAGAAACCGACTACACAGATAACTAACGCACCGAATTAGTCACAGATGGACCCCATCCTGATCTCCCCCATCATTGGACTCCTCTCCTGCACCGGCGTCAGCTCCAGCCCCAGCTCCAGCTCCAGTCTCAGTCGCATTTCCATTTGTCACTGGTACATCTGCCAGAGTGTCCTGTTCCTTGTCGGTCTTAAGCTCATCAAGCTCAATCCAAGGCTGTCCACGATTCTCGACCTCGGTCTTCAGTAACATGATCCGCTCATTCATGGACACCATCACGGCCTCATTTTCAGTGGCATGACACTCCAGGTCCTTCTTGTCTTCCTCTGAATCGTTGCTTTCTGCTATGTATGCACGAATCTCATCATTAGATCGCTTCAGGTGTGCGATGGAGTTTGTGATCTCGGAGACTTTGCTGTATAGGACTGCAAGGGGAAGCTCTTTAATTGCTTCAGCAAAGGCGCCTGGAGTGATAGGGAGAGATTGGGTCGACATTTGAAGTTTCTTTAGTGAGTGGTGAAAGAGAGATGGAATCAATGTATGATCTCCAGGGCCGTTTATTAGCATTATCTGTTATCATCACGTGCGGTTTATAGATCGGAGATGGATGTTGCCCGCATGCAGTTAAGATTGATTTTGACTACTAGTTAGTGTGCATTAGGGATGGATACCTAGGTAGAACATCTGATACTATAGTTCACACTAGTCATATCTTAAAAACAAAGCATATTCAAAATCTCACTATCATTTCTCCATCTTCTCGCTTTATACCTGTTATAATCGCGGTCTCGGAACAACTCTGCAGCCGTGCGGTGCGGTCCATTGATACCGCCAAAAAGAAACCCGAACAATCAACCATCACCCTCTATTCCATGGTCCTCTTTGAGCCCTCGCTCTAATCACAGGATATGAGCAATGTGGTCTGGGCCGTATGGCGGGCTCCATGCCCAGGGCTCCGCACCTCCGTGCTGCCAGTAACATTCCGGCCTGCCAGTCGCGATCTCCGCATTGCCCCATGGCGCATGTACAGTACATCGCGCCAATCCATGCTACCAATCCCGAACCTTCTGTCCCAGCTATTCTCTCGCCCATCCCGACCAACTCCAACCCCGGTATCTCCCCAACGATTCAACCTGGTCTCTTCCCCCCGCCGCTTCAAACGTACGTCCGCCGCATCTCCCAAGCCTAAGGCCAAATCGGATCCCTCGGAGGTCCTCCCTCGCCAAAAGCCCTTCTCTGATGCCGAGATCAAGGCCATATTTGGCCCCGTCAAGTTCAATGCAAAGCTGGGAAACCGTATCTTGGCTGTCCTACATGGCCATCGTCTGACTGGCACGCTCGATGCGGACTTGCCAGTTGACATTGCCAGCTCGATCACCAAGCAGCAGTTTGATACTGCTTTGGAATGGCTCCGCGATGAGTACCCCGTCGACGAGGATGCTGCTATTTTTGCCCGTATTGAACGTGAGGATCGTGCGGCGGAAGAGAAACTCATGCGCCGCGCTGAAAAGCTAGGTTTGTATAAGCCTCAAAGCGGTTCTTATGACGCCGAGCTTGGCGAGGAGGGTTCTCCGTACGGCAAGAGTATTTTGAAAGAGGCTCGCGAAAGAAACGAGAAGCGCTTGCTGGCTGAACAGGAACGGAAAAGGCAGGAGTGGCTCGATGGCGAAAAAGAAGAACACGAACGGTTGAAGCGAGAATTTGGAAAGAACCTTTCCTTGCAGCAGTACCAGGAAGCTGCGCTCACTGAGGGTATGTATATGAAGATTCGAGTCTAGAGGTATTGGTGTTGATATTTTTAGCTCGTCCCCGTGCGGATCCTATCGAAAGGCCGTATCTCGCTTGGGTCCAGAAGCATCATATTGCCGCTACCAACGAGAGCCCTGAGTCGATGAATATCACCAATGTAAGGATGTTCACTCTGTGGAGTTGTTTGGTTGTTAACCATATTTGAACTGGCAGGCTCAGCGTCTACTCGCTCCGCTTCTGTTCTCGCTTGTGGTTCTTGCTCTTTGCTATACTTTTGCTCTGAGATATGAGTTCCCAGCACGAAAGGATCGCCTCATGCCGGATGTGCCTCCTGCTGTGGCTACTGTGGGTGCCATTGTGGCAGCTAACTTAGCAGTCACTTTGCTATGGAAATATGTACCTCCCGCGTGGAAACTGCTCAACCGTTACTTCGTCATTGTTCCCTTCTACCCTAGCTCACTTGGTATGATTGGAAGCGCTTTCAGTCATCAGACATGGAGACATCTTGGAACTAATATGATGGTCCTGGGACTTATGGGGACCAGAGGTATGCATTGTGTCAAGGAGAAGCACTAGAAAATATGGGTTCTAACTTTTCCGCTCTACAGTCCACGATGAAATCGGCCGCGGAAACTTTTTGGCCATCTATTTCGCTTCCGGTATCATGGGGTCTGTCTTTTCATTGACACGCAGTGTCATCCTCGGCCGCCTGGGTATGACATCCCTTGGAGCCAGTGCCGCAACCAGCGGTATCGTCGCCGCATGGTGCATGTTCCACTTCAAGTTTGTCTCCCGCCATCTATCCGGTTGTTATTCTATATAGTACCTATACTGACCCCTCCTAGTGACAAACTCACTATGTGGATCCTTCCTCAGGGACTCCAGGAACAGATTTGGGCATACGGCTGGGTCTTCCTTACCTGCCTGATTGGTACCGAGGTCTTCAGCTTGGTAGCTCCCGCGTTCTTATTCCGCGCTTGGCCCCTCTCCCGACTGACTAAGATGGATCACGCTGCCCATCTAGGTGGGTATATGACTGGTGCCGGATGTGGATATACCCTCATGCAGAAAATGAAAGAGCGTGAGAGAAAGGCGAGACTGTCACGGTGGATCTAAAGTCTCATCAATAGAGACCTGGTAACCTATCTGTGGGTTCCAGTTGTATCATACTGGCGTTATTGCGGCAAATTCTATTATTACTACTCATTGTTCCATTCGAAATATCAACCTACCAAACCCAATCAAATACCCAAGTCATCTTCACAAATCAATCCCCACGATCTACCGCAGCACAGTGACTACAGACCACGGATTCAGAGCCGTGTAGTCGGGCTTATCCCAATGGAAAGGCACATCCAACAGCTGATCCTCACGATCCCGGGGCGGCTGACGGGCCCGGAAAAGCATGTGCTTGTCGATAGAAACAGTCTCCGCGCGGATGAAACTCACCCACCACAGTGCCGCGTACTCAACCTGAATCATCAGCCTTTTCAAGTCCTGCCGGGGTGTTTCCAACTTGATCGGAAACGAGATGCAGTATTTGCCCAAGCCGTGCATCGCACTATCGCCCCAAGTAACCAAGCCCGCTGCGATGGTCTCACATATATGCACTATAATCTCCTTGTCACTGGTTCCAAGGCCCATGGTATCTGGAAGAGTCACAGTCCCCCAGAGCCAACCTGGTTGGCTGTTGTGGGGGTCCTTGAAATGGAATCGGTGGCCGTGCTCGAGCTGGCTTGACTGGAACACACTCGCTTGTAGAAAAGGCATTGTGGCGGTTGGAGTAAATGCACTGTGATGATACTCCAGGCGAGGACGCCGAGGATTTATATTCTGAGGGACGATCCGGCTATTCTGGCAGCGTACAATGAGAGAATAAATTCCTTTCATAGTTATAATACCTCTCTCTGTTCTTTCAGAAAGTATATCATTCTCTCTATACTCTTTGTTTGGTCCGATATTATATATCAATCTTTGTTTGATCTTGTTCTTGCTGTCTGTCCCTTCGAGTGATTCGCCTTTATGAAAAGAGATTATATCATTCATAATAATGGCTTTCAGTAACAATTAGAAAGAAAGATCTATCTTGGTTTATCTTCTTTCTCCATTTCTGGCAGCTATCAAGTGACAAGTCTATTATACAGACTCCACCTACAAAGACACCTTGAGAAATGTACTGTTTAAACAAAGCAGGAAAAAGCATTGCATTGATTGCTGAAATATCCAAGTCAAAAGAACTGGATCTCAACACGAAAACACAGACAAAGAATACTCTAAATACGCCAGGGATCCATCAAAGTAACTCCCACATCTAACATATCTTCTATACTAACTATCTTACGACGAGTCTCAACAAAAATCATCCGTTGATCCAGAGTAACCTTCTTAAATGCGATCTGATCCTTCCAATACCCCGCAAGATTCTGAGCAAGAAGGAGATCAGGATGTGTAGGATCAGCCGTCCATGACTTAGGCAGAGGGGTATCCGGATCGCGCTTGATAGGGATCGAGAGACACTTTTTCCCTAAACCATGCATCGACTGATCGTCTATAGTGAAGCGGCCCTTTTCAATCATATCCCTTACATACAGCATAATTTCTGAATCTGGAATCCCGCGGTGATCGATGTTTTCGGAGAAATATACGGTGATCCAGTAGTAGTCGCTTCGGTCACCGGCGGGCTCGGCGAAATATTGCCCATTCGTGCTCTTGTATACGCTTGGCTGGAATTTGCTTGACATCTTGGTGGTTAGTGGGCTTGAACAAGGCTGGGAGGACTCACTGTCTCCTTGGTGAGGTCTTCTTGTTCTTCTTCGTTGGCGATAGGATAATGCTTTTCAGGGTGATGCCGGTGAGATAGAGGACACCGAGGGTTTATAAAGTTACAGACTAAGACAGTCAAGATGCGAGCTATTGGAGTATCGCATGGGAAATAACAAAGACCTTTCATTGCTACAATGGCTTTCTTCATTCTTGCGATGACTTTGGTCTTTGATAGAGACATAGTTTTTGTACTATATATAGTTTTACCAACCTTGGAATCAGCTAAACCTCCATCTAATTCTAACCAAACATTTCCGAACTCAAATGCAATTGACATACATATAGGCCACTACTATACATCCCAGGTATGACTACTATCTTCAACTGTACAGCATATGGCCTGTCAACCGGGTCCGCTCGTAGTGAACCCCTCGATGTCTCCTTCAGCGCATCGCACGCATACTAACCGGGCTAGTGATACAATGATGATACACAAATTCCAATTGTGACTGATGAATATTCAAATAACAATTTCGGTGTCAGACTGATGTGAGAAAGAATATCATTTTGAATTCCATGAAATCGAGAATACATACTTCCAATCTAAACATGGTCCTCGGTTACAGACCATTGAATGCTATACTAGTTGCGCGTTTCCCTGTCATAATGTGCATCAAAAAGCCCAACACAAAAAATACGGTCTCGGTCAAGAGTGACCCTACCAGCACGCAGCTCCCTTAGCCAGTATCTCGCGACAACCTCAGCCTGAGCCATAAACGCACGAGTCACTTGTTTCAGGGAAACCCCTGCCTCATTGATATCTACGGCGAACGAGATACACTCATGCCTAATCGCATGCTGCGGTGTTTGATAAACGACAGCACGGTACCTCCGGATCTCGTGAATCGCAAATTCTAATAGCATTTCATCGGTATGGGTGGAATTCATCTTGAAGGGGAGGCTCACAGTCACCCAAGAAGTCTCGTTACTTTCACGGTCGTCTATTAACTTGCCTGTTGTGGCTGACCTAAACAGAGACTTGCCTTGTATGTTGCTCCTGGAGTGATATTGAAATGGATTTGGCTCATATTCGCGTGGCATATTGTCGGTGGTCAGTGTGAGTTTTGAACATCAGTGTGAGCTTTGAACAATTGTTTGTTGTATATGGTTAAAAGTAATAGTGCCCAGATCGAATCACTTGGGAGAGAACCGACGCCTTTTTATATGGAGGACACCGGGATTAAAAGAGAATGAATGGAGAAATCCTTTGATGACTATAATGACCTTCAAAGCCACAGCTATGATTCCATTATTTACCCAAAACAACTACGAACAAAGAATTTCTTTGAGGAGTAAGAAAGCCAAGGTTGCTACGGTTTATCCCATGGCCATAGCTATGAACGGAATGCAATCAGAATACTTTTCAGTGGGAGCTGAGGGAACTGCGGTGACAATGAACCCAAAAAGGAAGGCACATATAGGTACTTGGTACTTGAGAATTGTATATGATTTATATGGTTACTTAGGTATTCAGTACTTGGATGGACTTATTAGAACTCTCGTCTAGCTACTGCGATCCCTTCGACACCTTCTACCATTTGGACAAGATTGATATTCCTACTCTGACACAATTCTCAGAGTCTGCCAGACAACAATCGCTCAGTTACTACTTGGCTATCTCCCTGGTATCGACAATATAGCTAATCAATCAACCTCTCTCTATTCAGCCCACAGATCACCGACGCCCAAAAATCACCTCTCTGCGAAGCATAGCCATTCCATTAGAAATCATTTCTAGCCACTTGTTTCCGTCGGCCTCGGCGCAAATCAAGATTGTAGCAGTATCAGCAGTGCTGACCGGGATCGGGATCGAAATACAAGTCACCCCCATATTATGCAGTGCCACTTGGCTCACGACGGCTCGTCTAATTCGGATGTTATAAAGCACATACTTCATGATATCTTCGTCGCTATGGGTCTTGTCCATTTCTTCGGGAAGAATTACGGTGACCCAGTCAGCTTCCTCGTTGTCCGGATCTTCCAAGAACTGAGAACCTACGTCGACCCAGGGTTCATCGTCAAAACTCTCTAAATAATCAGACCGCACAAGGAATACACTGTCCTGTCCCATGTTCGGTGGAATGGGTTGCTGGATTGAATGAGACTTGGGGGACTTGGCCTTTGCTTGTGAGGATATAGATTCTGGTGAAGGAAATATTTGCTAGGTGATGCCTGGCATCTTGACTGATAAGGTATCTATATTGCGAACATCTAATACACAATGAAACTCAGTCTTGGCTGGGAACAAAGCCTCTTTATTGCCAGAATAGAATGGCCTTGTCTCTTCTTTGATCGAGTCTACAGGCCCCGAACCGAGTCTATGTCTACGTGGCACTCTTGATTTCTCGACAAAAGACCTAGGGCCATCCCCCGTTATACATTGAAAAGCCGTCTTTACGAGAAGTGCTGGAAGATATCTGAGAAAAAAACATGTCAAGGCCAAGCGGCTACCCTTATTGATTCGTGTTTCACCAAAACAACTCCCGGGGCGCCTTTATTTTCCCTTTGATACTCGGCCATAAAGAACAAACAAGGGCATTATTGGTTGGATACCAAGTCCAATAATATATAATACTTGACAAAAGGAACCCTCCCGACAAGGACTTTGTCGGCGAATGCCTTTATGCTCTTTGTATCTTCTACTCCTATCAAATCTTGAAGGAGATTTCCTTTGAGGGCTTCAGAAGAATATCTTTAGAATGCCTTTGTCGTCTTGTTTTCTTTCGGTGGAGACACAAATTACTTTTCCACGGCCTTTTCATCCAGTATACAAAAGGAAACCTCCTCTCTACGAATTGAGACAGAATTCCATACAACCATCTCAACACAGCAAATTAACACAAGCACAAGTCAATTGAATATTTAACCCCACGCAAGCTTCATACTTCAACACACTGCACATAAACAGTACCAGTACTCTACATTGTAAGCTGCCCCGTCTATTGCGAGCGCCTATTATGGCCCTTACTAACTTCTTCCAGGACCTTTATACACATATCGATTGGATATTGTTTCTCCTGTGCTTTGGGTTCGTCCTGTGCTTTGGATCTGTGACTTTCGTACTTGTTCACTGTATCATACAGGTGGTTGAAGCAGCCGTCGCTTTCTACCTATTCGACATCCTTTATGACTACATATACGAGGAAAGCAGCAAGCAATTCTTCGCCGAGCTCTTCTCCCATATCCTCTCCGCACGCCTCGAGCTCAAGAGTTTTGTCCTGCTCCTGTGCCTAATCTTCACTATTCATCATTCTATCAAGGAGATCGCCTCTGTCCTCCGTGAAAGGCTCTCGCCGAACACAGCCATCATTGTAGATTGTCCCGACCATCGTGAGTCTCGAATCAACTCATTCGTCAACTCCTACAACCGAGGAGACACTAGTCTGACAACCAGGACAATCAAGACTTGAAGTTATAACAGCCATGCAGAGCCCCCAGCTCTCTCAGCTCGCCGATGAGATGGCCTGCATTATTCCCTCTAAATTGATAAGGCCTAAGTCTAACCCCAACACCCACGATTCCCAACCCAAGGAAATCAGCCCAACAATCTTCAGACCTGCAACCCCCAATGAAGTATCCTTCGCATCTCATTTGAACCGCTACATGCACCATCCATGGGGCGTGGTCGACTACTACATCTACCTTTTACATATCGAAAGCGGCCGCAACAAGTTCCGTCGCAAGAAAGAGTGCTACCTCCTAGAAACCACCGGCTTCACACAAGTCACTCTACATGACGAGCCAGTCCTTAACAATCTCCCAGCCCACACAAACCCAACAGTAGTCTTCGTCAGCCTCCCCATTCCTGACATGCAGAACGAATTTAGCAACGCCAGGTTGGTACTCGGCTTCGACCTACAGTCCGACCGCTTGCAGGGATATTTCTTCGAGCCCGAGGCCCCGATCGAGAACTACGAGGACCTCTGGAAGGCCTGGAATCAAGGTGAAGGCGAGCTCGTGATTGACGTTCCTGTAGACCGTTTCCTGGCAATTGTTCGCTATACTATGGAGCATCAGATTGAGATCCTGGAGATCGGTGTCCTGCACCACTACGGTCTGATTATGCGCGAGTTCCAGGCTGGTCTGGATATGGTTGTTACCGTGCAGTTCTTGCAGTTTGTGGATGACTTCGCTGAGCTCCTAGCTGAGGAGCCTGATAAGCTTCGTGAGCTTTATACGCCTTTCCAGGATGAACTGCGGGAATTGCTTGCGACTGGCTCCCGGGACACTTGGTTTGCTGTTCGTGATGGACTCAATATCGAGCAATATCGCCAGAAACAGTTGAAGAAGGTTGTTGCTTCTGGTTTGTTCCATGGACAGAATATTCTTGTGCTGCGAGATGAGTCTGAGGAGACTGAAAACGATGAGCCTCGTTCTGTTAAGATTGTTCCAGGCCACTCGCGTCAATGGTCACGGTTAAAGCTGCGGATCCAGATCTTGGTGAGTGCTACGTTGATTATTTGCCTCTGTTCTATCTTCGAACGCGACCGTGTCTTATGTCTAGGGATGTTCTGATCCAGTTCGTTGATATTATTCCAAATTTGCAAATGAATAAAAATTTCAAGATGGTTGTTAGTATAATAAGTATGGATGTCTCCACATGTAGATCAGTAAATAGTAAGCGGATGTGATAGGCCACGTATTTAGCGGGGTCATAGGGAGAAATCTGACATGTAAGCAGTAGAAGCCTGTGTAATCATCCGGTAAGTAGGGAGTACCAACGAAGTACATATTTGATCATATGGAAGATGCTCTTGAACAAAAAACCTTCAAAATCAGAAGAAACCCACTTATGTAACCCGATCAAAGCTAAAATTGCACCGCCACCACTCCTGACCCAATCAGGAATAGCCAGAAACCACTTATGTGGCGCGAGGTGGCTCAACCGGGTAGTGGCTGGCATAATCTCCTCTCCCATTGGCCAGGTAATTACCGGAAAGTCTTGGCAGCGTCAGGGCTGTTCATCGGGGTTGAGCAGCGACCTCCTTTATTGCCAAGCCAGCGGGCCAAAAGGTACAGATCTGCAGCTTCCAATCTCGCTTCGTTTCTTGTTTTCCTTTTCAGCCCTGTACTTAGTAGCCCTATAGCATTCAAGTACGCCTAGTTCCTTCCTTTTATCCCTGCTTACCCCCCTTCATTTCGCTCAATTGTGGTTTGAATCTTGATAATCTATGCGACTTCAGTCGACGTTCTTATTTATCTCCTCTACAATCCGGTGATATCCAAATCGCATCAATTTCTATTATTATTATGGCCGAGTACAGTGCGCAGCTTGTCAACGGTATGTCGCGGAACCCCAGTCCTCAATCGGAAAGTCGCGCAAAGCTAATCGAAGCATGTCGGCAATCGCAGGGATGCCTCAAAATGGGGAGACAGGACAACAGATCACGCGCGGCTCGAGCGATCGCTTCGAGCTCATCTCCGGTCCCCTGATCAACCTCAAGAACATGCACTACGAGGCTACAACTACCTGGCACGGCAGTATCTTGATTGTCACCAAGCCAACCCAGGAGCAGCCCCAGCTGCGCCTGCGCCAGGTAGGCGCTGTGGATATTGAGGCCCAGAGCGGCACCGACAGGGTTCCAACAAACCAAACAATCGAGGGTCTCAAGCTCTACGAGGATCCCTTGAAAGCTTTCTGGCGATTCTCGCTAACCGTGCCGGTGGCCGCATTCGAGGCGCGTTGGGCGTACGACATCCCTGGTCTATACAACGAGTCCGGAGTCCAGGTCCCGGCACCGTGGGAATTCGTCATTCCTGCAGAAGAGCAGTCCATGCGCACCATGTTCCACTCGTGCAATGGCTTTTCCGTAGGCACGGACATGAACGCCTGGGTGGGGCCGAACCTGTGGAACGATGTGATGCGCCTGCATGGCGAGAGGCCATTCCACGTTATGGTCGGTGGTGGTGACCAGATTTACAATGACGGCGTTCGTGTGGATGGCCCGCTCAAGTCTTGGACTGCGATTGCGAACCCGCATAAGAGGCGCAACCATGACTTCAATAATCAGATGCGCGCTGATTGCGATGACTACTACTATGCCAACTATGTCCGCTGGTACAACACTGAGCCATTCCGCTCTGCCAATGGCCGCATTCCTCAGGTCAATATCTGGGATGATCATGATATTATTGATGGGTTCGGCTCGTACACGGATCATTTTATGAAGTGTGCTGTCTTCCGTGGTATCGGCGGTGTCGCTTTCAAATATTACTGTCTCTTCCAGCACCACATTGCCCCTCCTATGTCGACTTTCACCACCGATTCCCCGCAGACTATGCACGCCGTCAATGGAACTTCCGGTGTTGACCCACGTCAAGTGGAGAATACCTACGTTCTGCAGAACCAGGTCGAGGACGACAGCTGGATCATCGGCAAACGGCCCGGTCCTTACGTGGAAGAGAGCAGCCGAAGTCTCTACATGCGCTTTGGCAAGCGCATTGCCTTTATAGGTCTAGATGCGCGAACAGAGCGCACCCGTCACCAGGTCAACTACGAGGACACCTACGATATGATTTTCGAACGGCTGCAGCGCGAGATCGTCGCCGCCGACGGCGACATCAAGCATCTGATAGTATTACTAGGCGTCCCAATCGCATACCCCCGTCTCGCATGGCTCGAGAACATCCTCACGTCTCCCTTGATCGCGCCGATCCGACTACTGAACAAGCGATTCGGCCTGGCAGGCGGCCTCTTCAATGAATTCGACGGCCAAGTGGATCTACTCGACGATCTGGATGACCACTACACCGCGCGCCAGCACAAGCACGAGCGCAAGATGCTAGTCCACCGCCTGCAAGAGTTCGCCCGCAGCAACAGCGTGCGGGTAACCATTCTCGGCGGCGACGTCCACCTTGCCGCCATCGGCCGCTTCTACTCCAACCCGAAACTTAACCTTGCAGGCGAAAACGATCACCGCTTCATCGTCAACGTCGTCAGCAGCGCTATCACAAACAAGCCCCCACCCCAGGCCGTCGCCAACCTCCTCGCTCGTAGAAACAAAATCCACCACCTCGACCATGAATGCGACGAGACTCTCATGCCTTTCTTCGACAAGCAGCCTGGCGGCCAGGAGAAGGGCGCCGCCTGGAACAAAGTCACCATGCCATCCCGCAACTACGCCATCCTCACCGAGATCGTCGCCCCAGGGCCCGGTAACACCGGTGTCCTCGAATCCAATTCCGTGAAACTGGAGCGTCTTCCTAAAGACGGCCACGCACCACTGCACAAGGGCGAAGTCAATGCCGGAACGACACACAGCGCCGCTGACGGGTTCACCTGTACGAGCGGCATGTTTGGCGGACTCGACGTTTCCGTCCGTGTTGAGATCGATCCCCAGAACCGTAGCGCTACTACCGAGGGATATGGATTTAGTATCCCCCCCCTGTTCGCTACCGAGGGTCCACCGGCCACCGGTCACCGGCTTAGTATGCACTCGCGCAGGTCCCAGGCCCGACCATCGACGGCGCTGTAATTGTTTTTTCCCATACCATATGCTACTATTCGTAATGTTTGATATTCCTCGACGTTTTTAGGGGTTTGTTTTACCTTTGTTTTTCTTTTGGTGATTTTCTATTTGATACCTCAATTCTTTTTCCCTTGAAACCATTGCATTTCTATTTTGTCTTATCCACTCCGTAGATGCCTATCAAATAAGCCAATCTCGCAGATCAAATGCGGAGTACTTTCCCCTCTGGATATAGTTGCTTTTTAGGGTTAGGCCTGGCGTCAAACTTTCTCTTATCTTGTCTTTTAATGTTGAACGTCGGCCCTTTTCTCTTGATTATCTTTTCTCTGTATGTGAAGCTCCCCAATCGGTAAATTATATCCCCATTACCGTTTTATGCACCAGCCACAAATTGTATATCTTTATCGATTGCAGAATGCGAGATTCCCCTTTCGGATGGTATTGTTTACATCTGTACTTTGGCCCTTGCACGACATGCTATTCGTTGCACCTCGGCATATGACTGCACTGCATATAATCTCCGTATATCCTTCTTGGTCCTATTCATTTGCTTACTATAGAGACCCTGATAACGGCGGACTGCCCTCACTAGCAACCCTGCTACTGTCACCATGTCTATCGAGAAGGAGATAACCCCTTCACCTCCCTCCCTCCAAGATCATGGAAAGGGCACAATCGAGAACCTAGAACTAGACCGTCTAGGCTACAAGCAAGAACTACGTCGCAATCGCTCTGTCCTAACCCTCCTCTTCCAAACCCTCGCCATAGCAGCAATCCCGTATGGCGAAGGCTCAGCTCTCCTCTCGGCCATCTACGGCGGCGGTCCCCTCTCAATCTTCATCGGCTGGATAGTCGTCTGCCTCCTGGACCAGTGCATCGCCTTCTCCCTCGCCGAGCTTGCCTCCCGCTATCCAACCTCGGCAGGGCCTTACTACTGGACCTTCCAAATCTCTCGCAGCAACAAAACAACCCTCTCCTTCATCAATGCCTGGATTTGGCTGATCGGCAACTGGACCATCACGCTCTCCGTAAACTTCGGCTTTGCCTCCATGCTCTCAGCAACAGTCTCAATCTACCATCCAACCTGGTCAGCATCCGACTGGCAACTCCTCCTAATCTTCTACGCAGTCTGCCTCACCTCCTTAGCAATCTGCATCTTTGCAAATAACCACCTCCCCTTAGTCGACACCCTCTGCGCATCCTGGACCCTCCTCACAATAATAATCATCCTAATCGCCCTCTCCGTCAAAGCAGACACAGGCCGCCACTCAGCATCCTACACCCTAGCCCACTACGACAAATCCTTCGCCGGCTGGGGAAACTTCACCTTCTTCATCGGCCTCCTCCCGGCCGCATACACCTTCTCCGCAATAGGAATGATCTCCTCAATGGCCGAAGAATGCACAGACCCAGCAGTAAAAGTGCCCCGCGCAATAGCCCTCTCCGTCCCCGTCGGCGGCACAGCAGGCCTATTCTTCATCATTCCCATCTGCGCAACCCTGCCCCCACTCCAGGACATCATCAACGCCCCAGCAGGCCAAGCCCTCCCCTACATTCTGGCTCGCGTAATGGGCTCCCACGCCGGCGGTCTCGGCCTCATCTCCCTCGTCCTGGTCATTACAGTCTTCTGCTCGATTAGCATTACCGTTGCGGCCTCGCGCGCGACCTGGGCCGTCGCCCGGGACGACGCCGTTCCGCTCGCGAAACTGTGGGCGCGCGTCGACGAGCGCTGGGGCGTCCCCGTTTGGGCGTTGGTTTTGTTGACCGCCATTCAGATGTTGCTTGGGTTGATTAATCTCGGGAGTTCGAGTGCGTTTACCGCGTTTGTTTCTGTGGGCGTTATTGCGCTCGCGGCTGCTTATGCTATTCCGATCTTTTTGAGCCTGTGGCATGGTCGGGAGGAGGTTGCCAAGGCGCCGTGGAATTGTGGAGGTCTTGTTGGGAGGTTTGTTAATGTCGTTGCGTTGGCTTGGATTGCGTTTGAGTTGGTGCTGTTTAGTATGCCGACTGCTTTGCCGGTTACGGCTGTGTCGATGAATTATGCTT